CCTGGCACCGGACGACCTCCCCTGAGTCTCCCGTGCAGCTCCCTCGTCTTCCCCGGTCCGTCCTCAGGGCCCGGCATTCTGCCCCCCGCACCCACCCCTGAGCGAGCTGAGTGGAGAGCGTGAGGTCTCAGCCAGGGATGAAGGGCCACCTTCCATGCCCACAACCCCGGACCCTGGGTCCCCTGTTCGGATTCATCCCCTGCGCTACAGGTGACGCACCCTGCTGCTCCCGGACAGTTGTCCACGGGCACCTCCAGCGCACCACGGCCAACCTTCGTCCCTCCCGACCTGCTCCCTTTTCTCCAGAGTTCCCTATCTCGATCCACAGAAAGCCTGGGCCCCTCGCTGCTCAAGGAAGGGTCCAAAGGCTCATCGCTATCCCGTGCTCCGAAATGTGGGTCCAGCCAACCAGCGGCTCGTTCTCCCCTGCTGCCCGTCTCTCGCCGGGACCCCTGCAGGGACCTCTCGCCCCGCCCCCTTTCCCCACTGGTCCAGCCGAACAGGGCCGTGTGCGCGCTTCTGCTCGAGTCCTCCCGGGTGTGTCCTCCTCTAAAATCGGGCACACGCCTGTTCACAGCACAGGCGTTCACCACACCCGGAGCGGAGGCAGCTGAAATGCCCATCACGGCAGGAACCAGGAAGCGAACGTGCTGCGTCGGCACCGTGGAGCGGAAGTCGGCCACACCGGAAGTGAAGTCCTGGCACACGCCACCACGTGGCTGGACCCCGGAAACATGATGCCGATGGAAAGGAGCCAGACACGAAGGGCCGTGTACCGCGTGATCCATTCATGCGAAGTGTCCAGAAGAGCCCGACCCACAGAGACAGAGACAGAAAACCAGGGGCGGAGGGGGCTGGGGGAAAACAGGAAGTGACGGTCCTGGACCCGCAGTTACTTCCGGGGTGATGGAAGTGTCCCAATGTGGACTGCATGAGTGTGACACCACCGAACGGCCACCTCAAACGGGTGACTTGATGACAGGCAAATTGTATCTCAATTAAACTATCCTTAAAAAAAAAACCCCACCCCAATTCCAACTCCCCCAGGGCGTCCCACCTCCGGCGCCTCCCTGGGGCCTGTGCCAGCTCCTCCCCAGACCCTGGTACCCCTCCCTCGCGACGCCGGGCTCTCTGGAACTTGCAGGGGCTCCATCCCTGGGACACATTCCTTCCTCTCCACGGAGCGACCGTCCTGTTCTGCGTTCGGCTCTGTTTAGTGCATAACTGTCCGGCCTTCGCCGACCTCAACAGGTGCGCGCTGCTGCCGAGTGTCCCCCAAACTCCTACACCCCCTTAGGCGCGCCACTCCCCGCACTGAGTCATTGCTTGGCTGCCCTCCCCCGCAGATGGCAAGGCTGGCGGTGCTGGTGCCACCGGCCTCGTCCGCAGCAGCGTCTGGGACACCCTGTTCCTACATGAAACGATGAAGCAGTACCCAGGGCGCTCCAGGCGTTCTTCTAGCCGTGAAGGATGCAGCGGTGACCGAGCTCCTGCCCCGAGGAGGGGCTCGCAGGCTGGTGGGGAAGGCGGGTGGAGTGTGGTGCGCAGTGAGAAACCGGGAGGCAGCAGCGAGGAGGCCGCACAGAAAAGCCCAGAGCGGGAGGGAACAGAAAGTGCCGGAGGCCAGGCAATGACTAACGGCGTTTGGGGCGGGCTTCTCCGAGGGAGGACTCCATCTGAGCAGAGGCCTGAACGGAGCAGGGGAGGGCCTCAACAAGCACCTGCCCAGGGGTTGAACAAGGGCGGGGGCAGGGGGCAGAGTAAGGGAGAAGGGGCAGAAGGGGTCCTCCTGAGCGGCGAGGCCTGCGTGGTGGGGCTTGGCGCCAAGAGCTCGCCACGCCGGCGGCAGGATGGCTGATCTCGAGTCTGCGGCCGAGTATTTGAGATCACGACGAGCCGCTCCACTTCCTCCCCCAAACTGAGCATTTCCAGCGGGGCCTCTCAAGTTTCTCTCGCCTACTGTTCCCCAGGGTGGCCCTTGGGTAGTCAGGGTAGGGGGGTGCCGTGATATGAACCCCAGGGCCAGCGGGGTGCTGAAGGAGACATAACTCACGTGCAGTGGAGCAGGTGGGCTGGTGGGTCCTCCCCTGGCCTCCTGCATCCGGCCAGCAGGAGAAAGTGGAGGACCATGCGGGCCAGCCAAGCCCGGAAGTGGCGTGTGTATCCCTCGAATTCCAGCGCCCAGCCCCCCGGCTGCAGGAGGCCCGCACACAGCTCCTTACTCCCCTAGGCTAGCACGACCTCGACCCCCCCCCCCCCCAGGCCCTACTGCCGTGTTCTGTGCACCCCTGAAGCCTCAGCGTTCCTCGTGCCACCCATGCACCGGACCTGTGGCACCTCTGCCCAGCAGGGAGAGTGGCTGGGCATCGCTGACCCTGGGCTCGAGGCCCCGCAGACCCACCGGGGACGCTCCCTCATTGCAGCGGCTGCCCAGGCTCCCTTTCAGCCGGCCTCGGGACAGCTCGCTCACTCCCACCACCCCCTCCGCCAGCGCTGCACCGCCTGCCGTGTGGGCTGGGTCTGCGTGTTCTGTTCAAAACAATCTCCCCCAAGACCTGGCTGGAGTCCCATCTGCTCCACACAAACCCTGCCCGCCGCTGACGGTGTGTCACCCACACTTCCTGTCTGGAGCGCTCCCATCCACTGGCTGGCACACCAACGCGCCGATCTCGGGCAGAGAGCGCACTGGGACCACGTGCAGAAGCCTGAGGTGGGGTGCTCTCCAGCCCCAGGATGACGACCGAGAGTGACGCCTGCAGCGCAGGGGTGGGAAGGGGCAGCTGAAGGTCCGGGTGGGGGCGGGGGGGAGGGTATAAATGGGCCCCCTGAGTGCCTAGCTGAGCGGGGAGAGGGGCTTCCAGCTCCAGAGTCAGAACACCATGGAGATCGCTCCCAGCTTAGATCAACACCCCCGCAGGGGGCTGCACAGAACAGGGGGTGCGCATGCCTGTGGACTCCCCAGCAGCGGACAGAACTAGGAGACACGAGAGGGAGGCTTCAGACCCCAGGGCACTCACACGAGCTGCTGCACCAGCGATCCCGGAGGACACCTGCGGGGCCGGCTGCCTAAACCCTACTCCGGACTGAGCGGCAGGGGACAGGCGTACCCGGCTTTGCCGCGCTGGGCTCTGCTGAGCTTCACGGCCCTCCGAGAGCAAGAAAACTGTGACTTGTGTTTACCGTGAGGGCCGGGACCAAGCCCACGACGCCTCCGAGGTCGGCCCGTGTGAAACAGTGAGACCCAGACCAGTGTCGCTTACTGGATGGGCCAGAATCCAGTTTCGAAGGACTGTCCCAGGAGTATCTTTTCTGACTGGATATTGTGTACCTTTTAAACTTAACTCTGTCAGTTTTAAAAGTTTTTAAAAGTAGTGTTCCGAGTGCTTCGAGCAGCGAATGGCTTCATCAGCACCACTACCATCTACTGGACTATGTATGGACCAGTGATGTCGGTACCTAGAATGGTCCTTATTTCCCAACAGCGACGAGGAACCTGAGACGCAGTAGGAGTTTAGGACTGGGATGCGGGCCAACCTCGGCGGTGAGCATGTCACTCATTTGCCCCGGGGCTCTGGCTTGAAGAAGTCCCAGCTGAACCAGATTCTGAGTGTATCCAACCTCCCTTTGTCCTTCATGTAAAAGAGGGCTCAGCTCTGGGGGACCTGCATTGCTGTAAATACGGCACCTTAAGAGTTCAAAGTGTTGCCAAGGTGCCCCAATACAAGCCACTTTCATTTCTCCTAGCTATCCAGGCACTTGGGAAAGTAAAACGTTCTGCCTTGAAGACCACCGACCGTAAGCAGGCCAACAGGGCACGTCCAGGGCAAGTGGACTCCCCCCCCCCACCCCGGTGCCCACCACCTCCCTTTCCAACAGGCCACCCAAGCAGCCCTGGCACTGCAGAGATCTCCCTGGGGCACCTGGCAGGAGCTGTCTACCGCCGCCCCTCTGCCATTGCACTGGGAGACCAGCTTCTGCTCCACACTCCCAGGCGGCTAGGTATGAAGAACGCCAGGCGGGCACCCCCAGCCCCAGCTGCACCAGGGCCGCCCTGTGGATGGAGCTGCTGCACGGCAGCCTTCCCACACACACACTCCCACGCAGACACCTTTCCAGGAACTGCACACCCGCGGCTCAGGGAGGGGCAGGGGAGCCTATCACCGAGAAACCCGTCACCCACCGACTGCACCAAAGCAGAACTTTCCCCACTGAGTCCGAGGCCACTCGGCTGAGCAAAGCGCTTCAACGAGGCTGGCAGTGGCTGCCTCCGTGTTCACTTTGAAAGCCCCGTTTTGGGGCTTTCTGCTCAGCCTCGCAGCAGTCGGCCCAGGGGGACCGTGGGATCGGGGCCCCCCGCAGGCCGGCGCGGCGCCGAGTTCCTCCTCACGCATGGTCACTGCAGAGGAGGAACTGAAAGCCCCCCTGCCGGAGCTGGGCAGCCGCCGCTGAGGTCAGACGCCAGGCTCTATTTAGGAACTAGACCAAGAGCATCAGTGGAAATTCCTTGGGTTTCGTTTCTTTTCTGGTCACTCTCTGAACAAACTGTGCTTGGTGTTCTGCAGCCAGGGCGCGTGTGGGCCGCGGGGCCCGGGCTCCCCTGAGCGCGGGCAGGCCCAGACCGCTCCAGCAGACATCACTCCGCCGCTCGGTCCTGAAGAGGGACGAGGCGGGGAGGGGCAAGCACCGAGAGGGCTCTGTGCTGTCTCCATCAGAGACACCACGGTTTCCACCAGAGACACTGCGGGCGCCTGTAGTGCCCCTGACCGCAACCCTGGCGTGAGGGCGGCCTGGGAATCTGCATTGTGGACGCGCTCCCCCAGCATTCCGGTAACGGCCAGGTGTGGGCATCGCTCCAGGAAGGGGCCCACAGGGACCCCCGTGCCCCTCCAAGGGGCCGGGTGAGTCAGAAGTCAGGTCTTAAGAGCCCCGACTCCCTGACCCAACCTGACGGTTCTCCGGTTTGCACTGGAAGGCGAGGGGGGGAAGAAGAGACCCAGAGCGAAGAAGCCATTGTGTGTTTATTACTCACGGTTAATCACTACCTACCGAATTCTGTCCGCGGGGTTAAAGGATTAAGTACATAAATCTTTTTATTTAAACACTGATTTGTTTAAATATATACACATACAACTTAGTTCAGCAAGGCCGCACGATATACACCAGTTCCAAAACAAGACAGTCAGACGTCCAGGCGCGGACAGCCAGGTTCCTCCCGTCAGCAGTGAGCGAGGCAAGGAGACGCCGTCGGAGGGAGCGTGGGAAGGCCGAAGACTGTCCAGAAGCGCGGCCCCTCCCGGGTCTCTGAGCGCACCGGGCCGAGTCCGGCTCCAGGACCAGAACCAGAGTCTGGGGAAACGCCAGTGGCCACTTCTGAACCCCACCAGGCTGCCGCCGACAACGGTCCCAGTTTCGTTGGGGGAAGGGGACCGGGCGGAGGACGCTCACAGGCACACCACTCCGAGGGGCGCGACGCCGACGGCAGGTGTAGGGCGAGCTCCGCGGTGGCCGCGGCCTTCCCATAGTTCCACTCTCCCCTTCCCGCTGCTCCTGCTTCACGGAGACGCTTCCCTCCGGGGGGCTGGCGTGCAACAGCTACGAACGCAGCCCGCTGTGAATGGAGACACGGGAACCGCCCGGCTGCTTCCTGAACGCCGCCCTAAGGCTCACCTGGGCAGGTCACGTGGGGACACAAAGGTAAAAGGCATGAACAGACGCCCCTGGTTTCCAGAGCAAGAAAAATGAACACTCGTTTCCCGCCCCAGCGCGGGAACAGGGTGCATCCTGATACTGAGGGAGCGGCGGTTTGAACCCCCTGGGCCCTCCTGCGCCTGACACTCGCTGGCTCCGGGGACTTGCATCGGGGGTCTCCGGGGCAGAGGGATTCAGAAGAGGTGGGGCAGACACCACCTGAGATGGCACGTCCAGGATGCGGACTGCACCCCCGCCAGACCCAGTCCAGTGTGGGCGGAGCCGCGGCCTGTCCTCCCGCCCCAGCAGCAGCTCACGCCGCTCCCTGGGGCAGCAACTCCAGACACTGGGCTTCTGCCCCCTCTGACTTGGCGGGGGGCTGGTGAACGTCCAAGCCGACCCCCAACCACTCCTGGCTTGGGACGGGCAGGAGGCCCACACCCTCTTCCACTCGCCTCTTCCTCACTCCCCCGTTCTCCCCTCCCTGCCGAGGGAGAAATATTTACACAGAGCAGGGGACAATCTGGCTGAAAAGCTCTGGACTGCCTTTAACTCACTGCAAAACAAAACAAATGAAGAACACCACTCATGAAGCAACCCTTGAAATAAGGAAGAAGGCACCAGGAACAAACAGCATGCTCAGTAACACCACTCGGAAGGGAACACAGTGTGGAGGGGAGAGACACAGGTTTGCAGCTGACCTTTCTCAGGAAGCCAAGAGGGGCAACGCTCCTTCCTCTCGCCCCGACCCTACGTCCAGCTCTGACAAAGTACACAGGTGGGGGCTGGAGGTCGCTCCCTGCGTGCCGCCCCACCCCCGGCAGCCGCAGAGCGAGGCTCCCCCCACGTGTGCGTGTACATGGAGAGCCCCGCAGTGGCTGTTCTGGTGGTCACTCCGACTCAGTTAGACATTTTGCATAGAGAAGATACCAGCCCACTTGGTTTCTTTTCTTTTATTATAGGCATCAGCTAGGACTATATGTGGCGTTCGTTAAATGTCATGCACTGATGGACAGAAGAGAAAAAGAGATGAAAAAAAGGACAAAGGAGAAATAGGAGCAGCGGTGAAAATCTGTAATAAAAACTCTTCTTCTTAATTTATAGGTAAGTTTTGGCATTGTTATATCCAACTCCCCTCCCACCCCCCAAGTTCCAACCGAAGTGAGAGGGTCACCAGGTGGACCGCCGGGTGTTCCGAGCCCCCGCACAGGCTGCTGTCAGAGGCAGCTTGTGGGTTAATTCTTCGTATAGGCTTTAAACTTTTCGCTTTCTTTAAATAATCTCCTCTTGATCCTTAGACGTTCCGGTTCACGGGGGTGACGTAATTGCGGGGGAACATGCCGGTCTGCCCGTGGCAAGCCCCTTTCCACCAGTTGGGGTCTGAGTTATCCATGACGTGGATAAAGTCTCCCCGACGGAACCCCAGCTCTCCATCCTCCTGGGGGTCAAAGTCAAAGAGGGCCTGGACGTACGTCGGTTGCTGCAGAGGGGCGGGGAAAACACACACATCGCACCCTGAGTGTGGCCAGTCCCCCGGTGAGCGGGGCTGGCTATGGGGGGGCGTGAGCGCCGTGTGCCGACTTCTCCACGCTTGCTGGAGTACCCCCACGCCCCCCCCTTCACTCTCACACGGCCCCAGTTTACTCTGTGTGGGGGCAGTGCGACCGTCCTCCGTGCTCAGAAATGACCAGGGCAGCCCTCGGCTGCGGTGCCACTTGCGCCGTGTGACGGAACAGGGAGCAGCAAGTGTGGCTTTAAGGGGAAAGACCTTCAGAAACAGCCGTCAGGTTTTATGTAAAATCCCAGGATTTGAAAATGCTTCAGTTCCTATCACTCTATTACTTAGAAGACCCTGGAGGTTTTAGGGAGTCAAAAAGCCAGCGCTTGAACGAGTATGGTGGCACCTCCCACAACACGTGAGCAGAGTCCCAGGACTAGGAATACAGAAATGAGCGTGGGCCCCCCCCTCCCTCCCAAGAGTGACTCCCCCCCCGCCTGCTTCCAGGGAAAGAGCACCGGAGAGAGTGTCAGAGACCCGCCTTCAGCAGACTCGCTGGCCAACCAACGAGCAGAACACTGCCCTGGAGGAGCAGCCCCTGGAGAAGGCCAAACCACTGGCACTCTAGTTCAGATTCAAGCCGTTACCGTGAATAAAGGTAAGGTTTTAAGTGATGAGCGTAAAAGCGCCAGAAGCAATCCTTTCAAGAGGCACCCGCTGCCCGAGGAGCTGCTTTCATTGCTAGAAACGGTCCCACCTCCCTCTAACGAGGCTTACCTGTGGCACCTGTTCTATGTCCCGGAGAAATATCTGCTGGTTTCTGGAGACGGATGTAGATCTGTGGTAATCTACGAGCTCATTCAAAGAATTGAACTTCACCACCCAGAGGAAGTACTTTCCGGCTCCGTCTCGGAGCACCTTGAAGTGCTGCACGTCGTTTCCAAACCTGGGGAGGGGCAGGGGACACACGGGCGGCCAGGTCAGGGGCTCTGCCTGGCTGTCCCCCAAGGGTGGTTCTCCCCCAGGGCCACCCCCCCAGGGCCAGTCCTCACAGCCCGGGCCAGGACCGCAGCCGAGCAGGCTGGAGGGCGGGGGTGCCCCGCTCCCCCGAGACCCTCCCTCCCTCAGGACTGCCGACCACCAGTGACATTCTGAAGACGTCTGCAAGGAAGAAGAGAAGTCCTAACCTATGGCGCGCCCCACACGGTACCAAATGGAGGTAACACAGCCTGGGTAAAGCAAGGAGTGGGGCCTAATTACCTGTTCCAGTTAAAAAAAAATTAGAATATTATGTGACTTTAAAGACTACAAAAGGTGGGAAAGGAAGTGAGTACGGTACGAAGAGGAGGAACTGGACACACTCCCAACAGTTCTCTACCTGTGTCCATTCAGGGTCTTCAGTTCTCCTCATGGGAAAGAGGCCCCACAACACAAGAACACACCGGATGACAAATAAAGAGGCCCCCGCCCCCGCCGAGACGAGTCCCCTCCGTCAGGCAGTGAAAGGTAAGCGCCCCCTTCACACTGGCCCGCAGCAGCAGCAGCAGCAGCAGCAGCAGCAGCAGCAGCAGCAGCGAGAGCCTGGCGGGGCAGAATGGCCCCCATCACGGTGCCACATGGCCAGCCCCTCAAGCTCAGCGACGGCTCTGCCCGTCCTGCGCACTGCCCAGTCCTCAGTGTCCACGCCAGTGCAAGCCCTCAAGAGGCACTCTAGGAAGGCCTGTTCAATGAACGAAACTACTCTCTCCTCGGGATCCCCAGTCTCAAACTCGCAAGAAACAAAACACTTCCTAACAACCACCCAGCAGGTGGCAGCACTGAGCTTCCAGGAAGCCTCGGACAGGGAGACGCCAAGCATTCAGAGACCGAGCGGTGAGTCCTCACTTGAAGGGCGTGCATGGGTTCTGCGCCTTCGAGTGACACGACTTACAACCAAACCGAGTCTGCCACAGGCTAATTCACACATGCAAGGGCTAAAGTGCTGCCACACCTCGTCAGTGTTACAGTGTAAGGACCTGCCGTGTTGCTATTTCACGAGAGAAAAAAGGTGGGTGAGGAGAACGCGTTATGAGGAAGGACACACTCAGACGACACTCTGGGCCCCAAGAAGCCCGCTGCCACCACGCAGTGGCTGGTGTCTGAAAGGACCGCAGTGGTCTGCGCCACAGACTCCCGTCTTGAAAGGAGAGAAACATCTCGGAGATGATGTTCTCGAACTTCCTTCACATCATCTTTGATCGAGATGGTGAATGACATGCCTTCCAAACTGTACTTCTCCAACCATGAGCACACGAACTCTTCACACTCTGTATGGACAGAGTGGGGTGGTGTGGGAGCCTCCCGGCGGCCGCCACGCGCAGGGCCCGTCAGCGGAGCCCAGGCAAGGCCCTCGCACGGATGCTAACAGCCAAGGTGGGGGGTCTGCCACGCCCTTCTTGCGCCCGGTCCTTGCAGCCTGAGTCACACCGGGTCGGGGTGGAACGCAGGGGAGCGGGCGAGGAAACACGGGGCAGTAGGAAGCCAAGGGCACTCCCATCCGGGTGCTCCGCACCAGAGCCTCATTTGCATGCGTTCAGTCAAGCGCTGCGAGCACAGGTGGCGTGCGGGGGTGTGGGGGATGTCCGCGCCTTCCACTCTCTTGCTGTGAACCAAAACTGCCCTGAGAGCAGGGCTCACTGAAAAACCCACCGCCGGACGAGAAGGACGCTCACATCCCAGCCCGACCCTTCGTGTCGGGACTGAGCATGGTGCTGGAAGCACAGGTGCGAGGCGCTGCAAACACTGCCTGAAACCACCTCCTGTATACTCTCCGAGGGCGAAAAAACTCAAGTTTAAATCTGTGTTTCAAAAAAGCTACACTTGAACCGCATATCTGGATTTGAGATTAAATAAGATATTCAGCTGAGGTTTGAAAGTGAAGAAATCTTTACACCACTTAAAAATGGCAAATAAATTCTTACAGCCTTCATTTAAAAAAAATCAGTTTTAAACTAATCACCTCTTTGTCACAGGAAGGATGGACTGATTCATCAGATTCCTGGGGTGGGGGTTCCCGAGAGAACACATTACTAACTAGAAAAGGCCTCGCCCAAAACCCAGGGAAACGACAAGCTGATTTCAGCATCCTTAGGTCCCAGGTGGGGCTGACGGGCTTAGAACCCTCTAAGCTGCAGCCCACGTCCTCTGTGACTCCCAGGGTGACACAGTCCCTGTCCGCCAGCTCCCTTCTGCTTTTAAATTCACCACAAGGGAAAGCAGAACCCCCCCGCCAACCCCTGTGGTGATCTTTTACACGAGTGTGAGCAGCCTAGGCTGGTGGTGGCAGACCTATGCTGGACAGCTGGGGGGCTTGAGAAGGTGGGTGTGGCCACCAGGCAGCCGTCAGAGAGAGCTGCAGGGGTCCCCCGGAAGGCAGGGTGCAGGGGGAAGACAGAGCCAGGAGCACGGACACACGGAGGGGTGGGGCGGGGGATGAGGGGCAATGGTGAGCGCACGCTGTCTGCGGCTGCCGCTCAGCAACTAGCCAGATCCCCTGGGTGCCTGGCCCAGGGCTGCTGGAACACATTTTTAAGAGGGGCCAGAAACTAGGATTTTAATGTAAAATCTTATTTGTGAAATCCCGTGTAGGCGAAACCCTCCCAGTGTGCAACCTCTGGCGTGCGTCCCCAGACACCGGCCTGCGGCGCCACCTCCCAGGCGTGGGGACAGACAGGGCTGCAGGCCCCAGCAGGAGATACTCACTTGACGGACAGGGAGAAGTCCCCGGGAGCACTCTCACTCTCTCGGATGAGGAAGGCCCCGTCATGCCGCTGTTTGCTGAGCATTTCTTCTGCCTTGGCTCTGGGGATTTTGCCAAAAAACCACCTGAGGAAGGAAGGCAAGCCAGTCAACACCTGCTTCCCCAGAGAGAAACGGGCTGCGAAATGGGAGCAGCAGAGCACCCCTTGCCAGGGGAGGGCCTCCCCCTCGCCCTCAGCCTCGACGTGCCCAGCCAGGCCCTCCTTCGAGAGGCGGACCACCTCCCTTACGACGACCGCACCCTACCCCATGCTCCAGGAAGGGACCTGTAAGGCGTGATGGTAGGCCACTTCCTCCAGAGGAAGACACTTACAAGCGGGACTCCGGGACCCAAGCCCACCGGGCTCCCTGACTCACAGCAAGGCACGGGGAAGCCCCGGCCCGCAGCAGGGGAGACAGGCTCCTTCTGGCAGCCACCTGACGTGGCTGCAGCTCTGCTGCCGTGGGAAACGGGGCAGGACAGCTAACAGGCGCAGAGGTCGGAGACGGGGCTTCTCCTCGTGCCAGGCCGAAGGGAAGAGGCTCCAGCTGCGCGGGCAGCCTCCGCAGTAACGACGGCTGGCGTTCCTCTCCACGCTCGCCTGTCGCCCCTGCTCCAAGTTTAGCGTTTGGGAGCCGCCGGGGACACTGTAATTTACCTTGTGCATGGGCAGCTAGTTACAAAATGTGCCTTTGCATTTGGAGCAAGTCAGACCCTTCTGCTCCCAATGCTAATTCACACCTTGGCCACAAGAAAAATAGGGTGAATTCGCAGAAAACTGTGGGAGCAACTGGTCCATGGCTTACTGGGAGGAAGAGGAGGAGAACACTTTGAAAAAGCTTCAAGTCACAGCTGCCTAAGCATTTCACATGAAAACCATACTAATTAGGATGGATGAACTGTGAAAACAATGTTCTCTTTGCAAAGCGTCTTTACTGTATCATTATTTTAAAAAAACAACCATGTTTCTTAGAGCTAATAAAGACCAACACGCTTCGTTAAACTCCTCACATGGTAACTTACATTCACTAAATATACAAACTATAATAAAAATGGTACAGAACCGTCCATTAACCTCACTTATGTCTCTCTCACTTGTAAGCAACTGCTTTGACAAGAGGTCTCTAAGAATACACTACGCTAAAATTCAAATAGATGTGAGCTGCTAGAAGGATACATTCGGAAGTTGCTATTAGTAACTTTTCAACATTCCTAAATCTACCTACTTACGTCTTTCTCATTTTGCTTTTCTCATAATGCCAACCTGCCGAAGAGCTGGTACAGTCTATCTTCCTGCTTCTACAAAGAACTCAGGGGTAAGCCCTCCAGCGCCTGGAAGTCAGGCCACACAGAAGAATCACATGTTAATAGCTGCAGTCAGGAACGACAGCTCACAGTGCTGAGGCCACGCAGATATTTCCTGTTTTAATCGTGGGTGCTTTCCCTCCTGCAGGGTGCTCTTGCACACACACGGGCACTTGCCCGGGGTGGGGGCAGTTACTCAAGAGTCACACTCTTTCCTCCTAAACCCCCAAGATCATCCCAGCACGTATGCATTTTACTTTCCTTTCCTGCTATTCAAAATATAAGTAATAAATGAAAATAACCCAGATGTGCGTGCAGTAAAAATAAAAAGCTAGACTCTTCCCTCAAACTCCCCAGAGGCAGCAACTGCGGCAGCTGTATGTGTACGTCCTAGACCTTCCCTGATGGTGCACAGACAGCTGGACAGACAGACAGACATGGCTGCAGGGCTTCCTTGCCCCCAGCTTAGAATGGACTCAATTTTATTTTCAATTGAAAAACAAAACCTGAGTGTTGCAGGTTCGATTCCCAGTCAGGGTACATGCCTGGGTTGCAGGCTGTGACCCCCCAGCAACTGCACATTGATGTTTCTCTCTCTCTTTCTCCCTCCCTTCCCTCTCTAAAAATAAATAAATAAAATCTTAAAAAAAACAAACCCCCCCCACAAAACCTGCAGTGAAGGAACGCACACTTGACTGGACTTTATACAAAGCAAACACACCCTTGTTACAAGCACTCAGACTGAAAAATTAGAAGTCAGTTGGAGATGTTATTAAGTGGATACTTCTTTCGTATCTGCTACCATCACTGCGCACGTGGACACACACACTCTCACCCCCACCAAGGACGCCCCACAAGGCAAGGACCAGCGCCCACGCGAGGAAAGCTGTCGCTCGCTCTCAGTCACCGTTAAACACCGTCGCTCCGCATTTCCGCAGCATTTTATACTGTTTTGAAGTTTGATTAGCCTCTTTTAATGCTGACATTGATATGTAACTACATGGCTATGGTCAAAATTTTAAAAATCTTTAAAAAGATGGATTTATACCACAACACAAATAGCAAAGACGAAAGCTAACGGGAGGAGGCTGCTTATTCTGTGACTTCATTCCTGACTGCGGCCCGAAGGCTCCCACCCGCGAGTATTTAATGGGAAAGCACAGAGCTGGATCCGCCCACAGTATCGACGACTCATCTCGCAACACTGATGCCAACAATCATTTTGTAGACCGTGTTTAATTTGTGAAACCAAATGCTATAATGGTTCACAGTCCACTTTAAACTTCCCTCTTTCTAACAAAAACTAAAGGTTTCGGGGTGGGATGGGGAAGAGGAAGTGGAGAGGGGGAAGCGAGGAAAGAGGAAGGGAGGGAAGAGGTCCGGTGCCCTGTGCTCTCCCACAGCTGGGAAACCCGCACTGGCTGGGCACTTACAGGTGCCGGCCACAGAGCGGTCCCCTAACAGAAACCGTGCCTGTGGGACTGAAGACCACACAGGTACAACAAGGTCACGTTCTTTTCCAGCAGTCCACTCGCAGCTTGGAGTGGACTTTCAGCCAGAGTCTGTGTGTGAACCGCACCCGTATTGGATGCTCCCCGATCAATGATCCACAGGCCTCTACAGTGGGGAACAGGCACGAGAGTGACTCTTCTTCAGAGGAGGGCCCACCAGTCAGGGCAGCAGCCACAACTGCCCACCAAGGGGGCCTTTCCTACGTTTTCTCAACGGCTGGGTTTGAAGTGCCTCTGGTACTGAGACAATCCGAAGGGAAGCAAGGATGGAGAGACACGGGCTTTTTTATTTAGTACAAACAATACAGTATGATATCCTGCTGAATTCCTTTTTTTGCCAGGAAATACAAAAAAAAAAAGAAAAAAGAAAAAAAAAGAAACAAGTTGATTTTGTTGTCATTGGATTTAGTGCTGGAGTCAGAAAGCCACGGCCCTTGGCCTAAATCCACCCAGTTTTTCTACAGCCCACGATCCAGGGCTGTTTTTAAAAAATGCAGCAGAAGAACGTGGGCCGTGACGCAGACGGCACGCGGCCCTCGCAGACTATGGTGCTAGCACTCACTCTTGGGGCGCTCACAGGAGTCCGGCCGAGCCCCGACCTACTTCCGGGACGACGGAAGGAACAGCGGCGTGCACGTCACTTGGGGCGCGCACGTCACTTGGCGTCCAGGGACTGAGGGAGGGAGGACGCACGGTGACGCACAGGGGGGGCCTCCCGCTCGCAGGAGCCACGCCCCAAGTGCTCCTCCCCGGGGAGTGCACGGGCCATGCTGTCCATGAAAAGCCCACACGACCCCCAAAGCAAGTGCCGACACTGAGTGGCTGTGAGAATGCAAAGCTGTGCTTGGTATACTTTCCAGGAGCACCAACGCGGAAGTCACGAATTCTCCAAGGAATCTAAAAAAATCTTTGGTGGGGGAGGGAGGAGCATGAAGACCAAACTCATATAGTTATGACGATATGAGACAGTGTAAGTTCCAAACAAAAACTAGAAAAAAGTAGTTTATGAATTAGACAGATTTTCAATGGACTTCTATTGAGCTCTAAAAAGGTGCCTCATTCTTCCTGAAGTAAAAAGACATTTCCTTGAGTACAACACATTTCTTCATTACCAAACTGCAGGACAACCCAACCTTCTCTCTCCAGGCGAAGGCTTCCTGGATGTGATCTCCCAGAGAGCTCCACGTTCACTACGTGGAGGTTTTATTACCCCATAATTTACCTCTGGCACCTGGCACGGTCTCTGCCACCTGATAAAAACTGCGTCAGAGTCTAATGGCCAAGCCATGAACCAACAGATAGCTTTATGGTAAAGCCCCTAATCATTTCTTTCATTTTAGAGAAAGAGAAATCATCTTTTAAAAAGTATTTATTATTTATTTTACTTTTTATTTTAAAGAGAAGGGAAAGGAAGGAGAAAGACGTGGAGAGAAACATCGATGTGAGAAACATGGACTGGTTGCCTCTCGCACGTGCCCTGACTGGGGTCCGATTTTGCAGCCCTGCCAGGAATCGAACCAGTGACTTTATGCTTTGTAGGACAACGTCCAACCAACTGAGCCACACCAGCTGAGTTGCGAAACCATCTTTTAAAAAGAGATTCAGTTCATAAGGTAGCATTTGGCCCAGATTTAGTCGCTAGTGATAGCCAGCTCTGAAAGCAGTGTGTATATGGGAAGAAACTCATACAGTGCTCTATAGTGTTCTACATGGTGAGTCTTTTAGAATAAAAACTGTAATCATAAATTAGCAGCATTGAATAAAATACTATCAGTGCTCCTAATTTGCAGGATAAAGAGGGATAAACTAGACAATCTTGAAGTCCGCTTGGAGTTCTGTAACACTGTAAGCTCTGTATAAGTAAGGTGGAGTTAATATCCTCCTCTAGTACTTGAGGGAAGAGAAATGACAGGTACATGTTACAGCGGTGACAATGAAGGTGAGGGACAGACGGGCTGGTATTCAAAGTGGGTCATGTCATCGAAAAGCCTTATCACTGTGGCCCTGGCTGGGCGGCTCCGCTGGTTAGAGTGCCGTCACGGTAAGTCAATGTTGCTAGTTCAAACCCCAGTCAAGTCACATACAAGAATCAACAAATTAATGCATAAATAAGTGGATCAATCAATCAATCTCTCCCCTCTCAAATTAAAAAAAAAAAGTCATATCACTAAGTAGGAGAATTTTGTCATGTGTCAGTGGCATTCTAACAGGAACACCGAAAGCCTCAGCCCCCTGAGCACACAGCGCGGAAAGACGGCCTTGGGGGAAGGAGCACAGCCAATGACGAGAGGTGGGGATGAGGGCCGGAGGACAGCGGTCTGTAAGGGCCCCAGGGTCCCACTATGTTATGTAGAGTAGGAATGGGAGGGGCTCTAAAACAATATGGAGAGAGAAAGGCTCACCGCTTCGGCAGCTCTGAGCAGGAGAGCACTTTGTTTCCTCTGGAATAAGGACACTGAGTGGAGAGCGAGGGCAGTGAGGGTAAGCCCGTCATATGCAGCATCGTGCTTGGGGGGTACAACGGGCATCAGGATCCGGTCCCACAGGATAATCAAACGTATCAACATAAAACCATGGGATAAGTACCCTTCCTAAAACTCAACCCCTCCCCCTGAAAGACCCAGAATTATGAAATATCTGGCCCCAAGGGTTTCATACAAAAGGAATTAAGGACCTGTGTAACTGTTGTTCTATTACCTGAAGATCACGGACAATTATTATTAATTTAAAACATATACACTATTCTGTAATAGTATATGAACTATTGTTTAAATGAAACAATTGTTTCATTAAAGATTACTAATTACTCTTCACCTGAAACACACTATTATTGACTATTATACTATCATTATACACTATTACTTTTTTAAATAAAGATTTTATTTATTTATTTTTAGACAGAAGGGAAGGAAAGGAGAAAGAAAGAGAGGGAGAGAAACATCAATGTGTGGTTGCCTCTCGGGTGCCCCCTTTCAGGGACCTGGCCCTCAACCCAGGCATGTGGCCTGACTGGGAATCAAACCGGTAACCCTTTGGTTCACAGGCTGGTGCTCAATCCACTGAGCCACACCAGCTAGGGCCTGTTATAAACTATTATTAACATGCAAAATCAATGTTTTGTGAATTCCCTAGGAAGTCTGAAATAAAAGTATGACGCACATCTCAGTGATCCAAATTTTAAAAACATTACTGGAAACAAACAGGCAGGTCTGACCCTGGGGGACAGCAGAGCCCAACTTACGGATGCGGTTTCATTTCTATGTAATTCTTGGGAATGAAGCCATCTTTCCCATTGAGTTCTGCCTTGTACCAGTTCTGATCACATTCTTCATTCAAAACCTAAAAAGAAATAAGACAAGAAAAAAATCGATCATGTCCTTTTCACTCTGAAAAGAGTAGCCACTAAAACAATTATGCTGACGTTTAGTTTCATTTGTGAAAGGTGTTATCTGAAGTATTATCACGTACACGGATGCAAGAAAGGCTTCTTGAAACTTTAAACCACCAGCATTGTGTCGACCCTCACAGCTAAAATTGAAAAGAAAAAGAAACTGTCCCTGGCAATGAGAGTTCAGGCCCTCAAGCATCCAACACTGAACTGGCAGGAGAACAGCGGCAGGGCCGACGACAGGGAACGGCGACAGGTCGGTGTGGGAGTGGAGATCCGGAGAATGGCAGAGCTGACGCTGCACTCCACTGGGTGGGCACGGGCCCAGAAACGCGGCCGCACTGCCCGCAGTTACCAGCCAGAGTGAGGTCCTCTCCAACACTGTTCCCTGTGAGTCACATGGACAGGCTGGCCGTGACACTACGATCTGTACAGCAGCGGTTCCAACCTCTTCCATCTCATGGTGCACACAAACTAATTACTAAAATTGTGTAGCGTACCAAAAAAAAAATATATATATATATAATTTTCATTCTTTTACACCAGACAGCTATTATGTTGGCTACTGTCAATTTTCAGATTTGACAATCTAAGGGAAAAGAGGTCAGTGCCCCTGACGATACCTGCCCCTAGTCAGGTATCGTGTGTTTTAAAAGTTCTAGCAGCCCTGGCCAGGTAGCTCGGTTGGTTAGAGTGTCGTCTGCATACGTCGAGGTTGTGGGTTAGATCCCCTGTCAGGACACATGCAAGAGTCAACCAACAAATGCATCAGTAGAACAACAAATCAATGTTTCTCTCTCACACATCAATAAATAAAATATTTTTAAAAAATCCGTGGGCCACACAGGTTGCAAAAGGCTGCTGCAGGGCACTGTTAAGTTGCAGGGCAGATCCAGGTCCAGCGCAAAGGCTGCCCTCTGAATTCTAGATTTCTAAGACACGGCAAAGGGCAGAAGCATTTTTAAAAAGTATGTAACTTGGAAAACAGAAATGTGAACTGAACTCCAGAGTGATGAACACAGGAAAACGTTGATGGACTAGTAAGTGGTAGTCAATTTACAATACATTACACAACCAAGTTCTAACAGGAAGTTGGTAAAAGTCTGTAGAAATGCTTGCGTTGAGGTCCTGCACAATGCTGTAGCTCATTGCTGAATCGGAACCCAGATTTCTTTAGAGCGTACGACATGTACGCGGCATTTCGACGTGAGTTAGGTAACTCTGGAGCAATCGACAAACAGCCCTGCACCGAACGCGCCTGGAGGGGAATCTGCCCTGAGCAGCGGCTGTGCCCTGGTAGCTTCACCGCGCTCGTGCCCATCCGTGAGGCTGGCCGACCTCTGGCCCTCCGCCCGTAGGTCACCGAGCTGAGCGTGCGAGATGAGGTGGCACATCCTGTGAGTGTGCATCTGAGAGCTCTGAAACGATTCAGTGACCGGTGAGCCCATCAGCTTCGGTGACGAACACTTGTTTGTTTTCATCACTGTTCCCCTCCCCCCTAAAAAGTCCTATTTTCTTAAATAACTGCAATGATACAAACTAATATATGCAAAATGCATTCATAGTTTTAAAATCTGCACTTCAGAAACAAAACACTGAACTGTGCTTTAGCCGGCCAAGTTGTTCAGTTGCCAGACGATTATAAAATGCTACTGAGGGCGATGGTAAAGGAGGGAGGCTGCTCCTAGGGCGCTCCCCGCCATGACGACGCTGGCGCCCCCGCACAGTAGGGCAGACCCGCCAGCACCAGCCAAGGTGCTGAGACCTGAGGGGCCACCATCCCACAGACAGCACAGCGCGTTCAATGACACGAGAGCAAAGGAGGGATTTTAAAAGCTGCTTAAACCAGGATTTTGTTATCTACCAAAAGGAAAAATTTGAAGAAAAATGTGGCCTGGTAATTATGTTATAAAGCATCATTCCATAATAATAATAAAAATGAACTTTAGGCTTATGGACAAGTTTTTCAAATGTCTAAAATTCCTGCCAGAGGAGAGTCAGGAGGTGATTATGGCCCACTGGCCATCAAAACAGAATCAAGGTAATCACCTGGAAAAGGTCACTTTTAATTTAAGGATAACTGTTTCATGCCAGGAGTTCACATAGCGATACCACCTTGTCACCTTTACTCAGAGAGAGGCAAACTTGCCCCTAAAAAGCGAACCCCCCAATAAAAGAAACTCCAGGGCAATTCCCAGACCTGGCACCAATTTATAACTATGATTTCCTCTGCAGAACAAAATTATTACTTGGTGTTTAGAATACTCTTCGCCCCCAAGAAGGCAGGCAAATACAGAAGTAGTGCATTTAGTTTATATATATATATAAAAGATTTTATTTATTTTCAGAGAGGGTGAAGGGAGGGAGAAAGAGAGGGAGAGGAGCGTCGACGTGGGAGAGAAACACTGGCCTCAGCCTCTGGCATGTGCCCAGGTAGGGACTGAACCTGCAACCCAGGCATGAGCCCTGACCGGGAATTGAACTGGAGTTCTTTCCCTTTTTGGAATAGAGCAAACTGAGGTCTACCAGTCAGGGCTAGTTTATTTTTAATGCAATGTGCATGTGAGTGGAGAAAATGTGGTTCTCTGGAACATTCCAGAACCCAGAAAAGCAAAGTGTGGCTGTGCATGCCTCTCAGAGTGCCCTGTTAGCTGCAGGCCACCCGGAGGCAAGGACCAGGTCCTCCCACCCACCTGCTCCGCTGGTGCACTGGCTTTCACACGCAAGCCCTGAACTGCGATAGCACAGTTTAAAAGATATTTTAAAATGAAGTTTTGTTCACATGTTTAAAACAGCAAAGCATGAAAATTAACATAAGTGAGTCTTAGGCGGAGCAGAGAGAAAGGGACCGGAACCGCATGTGGAAAAGCTTGCACCTACGAAGACTGTTTAATTCGCTAGGGTTTCAGATGAAAGCTCCCGTCCTTGCAAGCCACCTTTAAAAGCCTCAGCAGGGTTCTGAGAATGAGGAAGCGGCTCCCGCCACCATTTCCCCACGACAGCAGGCGGCTCGTGGAGCACTTGTTCGTTACCTCCTAACCAGCTGACGGCTGAGTCCCACAACCACACTTTTGTTCCCTTTGAAAACTCCAGGGAACGTGTCTAGCTACCACCCCACAGCTGCACGCTCCACTCCGGCCTCCGCATTCCCTCCCGTCAGGACTTGCAGCCCCACAAGACGCTCTGGTCTAACGGAAGCAGATTGATCAAGAGATGAGATTACGAAAGGAGGAAGAGACACGTTTCAGTGAAGTTTTTTTCTTTTTGCAAGAAAGAAAAAAAAAGGATTAAAAATAATGTTCGAGTCCAAATCCACAAGAAACCTAAAAGACGAGGAATGGTGTAAAGCTTGCACAGGAGGATTAAAACCAGTCCACCAATGGAAGGGGACACACGGGCGCTTCCGGCGCGTCGCTGTCGCATCCCACCTGTGCTGGTCACCGGGTGTGTTCAGTCTGTGCACACTCGCCAGGCTGTGTGCCTACATACATACACACCTTTCAGCATGTGCATCAGACTTCAACTGAAAGTTGGAAACACTTCATCCAAGGGAACACAGTACTACTACGGTCCAACTCACAGACCAGAAAAACATACCAGGGCCTCACACATCTCAAGTACAAACTTTCTACATCCCCAAAATACACGGGAAACAGAAGAGAACAGAGTGAGACTTCAGAAGCCCCCATGAAGAGGGCTTACCATCACTCCTCTATGAACACGAGACATTCCCAGAAGTAAAGCTGTCTTCACCAGGGACAGCTCAGAGTATTCCAAGAGCTCTGTTCTGCTCGTCTATATTACGTGATTCTGGTAATATTCTTCACGGCTGCCACTGTCCCTCACCCCCGATCTGAGACCATTCCAAAGGCAATGACAATTCCCCACTTACACCAATACCAATTTAAAGCTTTCCAAATAGATTTTTAAAAAGTGCCCTGGCTGGTGTGGCTCAGTGGATTGAGTGCAGCCTGTGAACCAAGGGGTAACCAGTTCGATTCCTGGTCAGGGCACGTGCCTGGATTGTGGGCCAGGTCCCTAGTAGGGGGCGCATGAGAGGCTACCACACACTGATGCTTCTCTCTCTCTCTTTCCCCCTCCCTTCCCCTCTGTCTAAAAATAAATAAAATCTTTAAAACAACAAAGACGAAACAACAACAACAACAACAAAAAAAGCCAAAAATACCACCTAGAGCTGGGCCCCCTGCATTGCAGAAATTCAACATAAGCCAGTGAGTTTCCCCAGCTCCTCAAAAACCAGGCAGTCGGCCCCCCAGGAGCAATGCTGAAATACTGCCATGGCTTACAGGGGCTTTTTAAAGACTTAACCCCTAAGAAAAATCCTACAGGGCCCTGGCTAGAACAGCAGTGCTGGGAGAGCCATTTAAAATCAGTTCTCTTCAGTTGCCCATTACATATTTTATTATAAAACTATTAGAGCGCTCTTCAACTCCTAAGACTTCCTTAGTATGGATTACTGACTTGGCCCCAAACCACACTGATTCATTACTAACATTTTAAATAAGTGCTTTATATTCACCACCTCCATCTGTTACAGTTTTTGCTCCACATGAAAAACGTCTTGGCGGCGCTGCCTGCTGTACTGTGCGCCGAATCATGAAAAACGCCCACACTGTAGATAAGTGATCCTGAACTTCGCCGATGAGATGGCCAACTGAAAGGTCGTTCGAGAATTAAGGTTCCTGGTCCTACCAGAAACCTTAAATTGTTTACACAAGCACACAGAGAGAAACGGCACTCACGTTCACGTTGCCAGGCCAGTCTCCAAGCTGAACAACTACAACCCCCAAAAAGACATGCCCAGCAGGCACTGTTTGACCCGGTAAAGACCCTGACCCTTAAAGACCAGAAAGTTTAGAAGAACTGAAATGTATTTATAAAGTTTTAAAACTCTAATTTTGGCAGACTTATAAAATTGTGTGTTTAGCAT